TAAATCATTTAAAATATTTAAATTATTTAGATTATTTAAATTATTTAAATTATTTAAATAGTCCTGGAAAGGTTGTTTTAGGATAGCTAACTAACTATTTAAATTATTTAAATTATTTTGTCAAGGAAATATTTTAAATAATTTAAATAATTTAAATACGGCTGTCACATTTGGTTAGAAGGTTTCCCCCCTATTTAAATAATTTACATAATTTAAATATTTTAAATAATTTAAATAAGCTGTATTTAATTTTTTTAAATTATTTAAATTCTTTTGTACAGGAAATAATTTAAATAATTTAAATATATAAATCATTTAAAATATTTAAATTATTTAGATTATTTAAATTATTTAAATTATTTAAATAGTCCTGGAAAGGTTGTTTTAGGATAGCTAACTAACTATTTAAATTATTTAAATTATTTTGTCAAGGAAATATTTTAAATAATTTAAATAATTTAAATACGGCTGTCACATTTGGTTAGAAGGTTTCCCCCCTATTTAAATAATTTACATAATTTAAATATTTTAAATAATTTAAATAAGCTGTATTTAATTTTTTTAAATTATTTAAATTCTTTTGTAAAGGAAATAATTAAATAATTTAAATATTTAAATCATTTAAAATATTTAAATTATTTAGATTATTTAAATTATTTAAATTATTTAAATAGTCCTGGAAAGGTTGTTTTAGGATAGCTAACTAACTATTTAAATTATTTAAATTATTTTGTCAAGGAAATATTTTAAATAATTTAAATAATTTAAATACGGCTGTCACATTTGGTTAGAAGGTTTCCCCCCTATTTAAATATTTAAATAATTTAAATAATTTAAATATTTTAAATAATTTAAATAAAATAAGCTGTATTTAATTTTTTTAAATTATTTAAATTCTTTTGTACAGGAAATAATTTAAATAATTTAAATATTTAAATCATTTAAAATATTTAAATTATTTAGATTATTTAAATTATTTAAATAGTCCTGGAAAGGTTGTTTTAGGATAGCTAACTAACTATTTAAATTGTTTAAATTATTTAAATTATTTTGTCAAGGAAATATTTTAAATAATTTAAATAATTTAAATACGGCTGTCACATTTGGTTAGAAGGTTTCCCCCCTATTTAAATAATTTAAATAATTTAAATATTTTAAATAATTTAAATAATTTAAATAAGTCGTATTTAATTTATTTAAATTATTTAAATTATTTTGTAAAGGAAATAATTTAAATAATTTAAATATTTAAATCATTTAAAACATTTACATTATTTAAATTATTTAAATTATTTAAATAGTCCTGCAAAGGTTGTTTTAGGATGGCTAACTAACTATTTAAATTATTTAAATTATTTAAATTATTTTGTACAGGAAATATTTTAAATAATTTAAATAATTCAAATAAGCAGTATTTAACTTGTTTAAATTATTTAAATCATTTTTTACAGGAAATAATTTAAATGATTTAAGTTTTTAAATTATTTAAAAAATTCCTTTTGAAAAATATTTTAAATAATTTAGATATTTTAAATAAGCCGTATTTAATTTATTTAAATTATTTAAATTATTTTGTAAAGGAAATAATTTAAACAATTTAAATATTTAAACTATTTAAAATATTTAAATTATTTAAAATATTTAAATTATTTAAAATATTTAAATTCATATTCATATATATAATTAAATAAATGCGTCAAATGGACCCTAAAGGAGCCTCTCTCATATATATATATATATAAACTGTGCAAATTATATATACATATATACACACACATTATGCTGACTGCTCAACTTACCCCTAGGCCCGATGCTAACTCTTCAGGCCTTTTGAATCTCAGGGTCCAAGTACCGAAGTAGGCAATACTAGGGACCCGCTCGCCCCCTAAACCCTAAACCCAACAACAACGCGAAGCACGCGTCCTTGAGCCCGAGCGTATCATATGCCAATTGAGTACATGGATCAATGGGCTGAACCTTCAAGGGGAGAGTTTATAGTGCTCAGGGAACTTGCAGCAGCCTAAGCCCCGTACCAACCCAAGAGTAAGCTAGGAATAAAAAGGGTGCCCTTTGTGGTTTAAAGGGGTTTATAAGGGAACCTGAGCCCTCAAAAGAGGGAATAGGGGCTTGCTCTGGGTCCTAGCGGTCATCAAAGCTTTTAAAGTCGCCCCTGAAACACCAAAGCCGCCCTACAGCTCCTGCCCAACTGGGAGTTTCCGAAAATGGGGGACCCTAGTATAGTACCCTAAATAGTAGGATCCTTAATTACTCTAATAAGGACCCCATAATAAAAAGGCACCTCTAAGTTTCGGAAATGCCCAACCAACTACAGGGCCTCGGCCTGCCAACAACCGATGGAAAAACGACCTCACCAGCATTGCGCGTGAGCCATGCGGAGCATGTGGGCGCTATCTACCCTACCTTTGGTTAGTAGGGAATGGAGGACTGGGGTACAATGTTAACTACTATTACTACCATTCTGCCATTCCCAACCAACCAAAGGTAAGTTAAGCCATGCGAAGCATGCGCGCTGTCTACTTGTGTGTCCAGAATTGATACTTATTATGCTCCGCTGGGCCTCGGAAGGATTGCAAGGGTCTGAGGTTCAGCTTTCGTGGCCTTGAGGTTTTGCGTCAGGCTTCAGGCAGGGGGAGGTTTCCGCGTTTAGGCTTAAAGGAATGGGTTTCAGAGGATGAGGAGGTGGGGAATAGAGAAACGGGCCAAGATTCATTCCTTTAGGAGCTGGGAACGGCGTTAGGGCCTGGGATTCAAGCTCGATCCTTTGTTAAAATAAGCAGGCTAACAAGTGCCAGGCTTACTCAAAGACTGCTAGTCGAGCCAACTTACTGTATTTCAGAACATGTGAGCGGACACAGGCCAGGTACACGGCCAAATACCTCTAGGGTTTTCTCATTACTTGAAGGCTCATGGGACTTAGTAAGTAAGGTTATAAGTAGGTTATAATTAGGATAACCCCACATAGGGGACTTATAACCCCGATTATAACCTACTTACCAAGTCCCATGATCCTCCAAGTAACACCGAACCCCAAGCCTCTAGATCCCAAGCCCCGAAACCCTGAGCCCTAAGCCTCCAAAGCTTAGGGTTTAGGGGTTTAGGGTTTAGGGTTTAGGGTTTAGGGTTTAGGGTTGCCCCCTGAAAGCAAAACCACAACCCGTAAACGGCAAGGTTGAAGGCCAGCTACCTATACCATGGGTCGCCGTACGATGTTCTTACAGAGACAGTACGCTACTATCTACCAGGGTTTACTTTAAACTCTATACCAGAAACATGTGTTTATAAAGGTACAGTATACTTTGGCAGCCAAAAACCGTCCGCATCTTTCAATCAATCCACTACAGCCTTACACCCACACATGGTTTCTTGTCTGAGCCAAAACCCTGAAACCCCACACTTGAAGCCGCACGACCTCCAGCTTGAGGAAAGGCGTTTAGGGTTTTGGGGCTTCGGGTCGAGGGGTTCAGGGTATTTCTTGAAAGCGAGACCGCAACCCATGCCCACAACAGCCCTACACCCCAAAACCGACAAACCCCAAACCTTAAACCCTAACCCTAACCCTAAACATCCCTAAACCTTAAACCCTAAACCCTCACCCTGACCCTAAAGGATGAGGAGGTGGGGAATAGAGAATACTTCGAGGATCATGGGACTTATAAGTAGGTTATAATTGGGGTTATAAGTCGCCTAAGTGGGGTTATCCTAATTATAACTTACTTATAACCTTACTTGCTAAGTCCCATGAGCCTTCAAGTAGGGCCAAGAGTGGTTCCTTTAGGAGCCGGGAACGAGGTTAGAGTCTGGGAGAGCCTCAGTTTTTGTGATTCAGCAAACCATGCCGCCCACAGCAGCCCACAACCCCAAAACACCACAAACCCTAAACCTTAAACCCTAGTTTAGGGTTTAGTAAACCCTAACCCTAAACCCTAAACCTTAACCCTCAACAAATCTAAGGCAAGAGCTTCAGGAGCCGCATCGCCGGCAAAGCCAGCGCGACCTAACTTCGAGGCGTACAATAGGGGCCTTACAAATTAGAATAGGTTCCTTTTTAAAGTTGAAAGGGCTCCATAAGGGATCTATAATAGGGTTCTAGAATCTAGGGGCCTTAATATTTAGAATAGGGTTTTGGGACCATTATACTTATACTATAGTTATCATAAGGAGCCCCTAGATAGTATAGGTAATCATTAAGGCCTCTATAGTACACAGAAATTCCTTACTTGGAGGTTCATGGGTAGTTATAAGTAGCGAGATTAGTTACTACTTATCATCCTACTAATAGTTATAACCACCCACGAACCTCCAAGTAAGGATTGTCGGATTGCTTGGGGCTATACGACATGGAGGTGCCTCGTAAAAGCCCTGAGGGAGCAGGTTTCCTGCTGACGTTGGGTACTGCCCTCACCCTATACCAGTCTGTATTCGGGGTCATAATAAAGCGTATTTTCCTAAACCCTAAACCCTTTTTGTACCATCCAGCTGTTTCAATGTGGAACAGTACCTTGTTGAAAACAGCAAAACACAACAAACAAATGTTTAGCAAGAAGAAGAGCTTTGTAGTGCAGCCGCCGCAGGTCGACGTCGCACAAAAACGGAAAGAAGGGAAAGGGAAAGAAGAGGAAGAAGGACAAGCACACCACCAATGCCCCAAGTCCTTAGCTGGGAATGGGCTCACAGAGCCAGTCCTTAGCTGCGGAAGGACCTTAGCCAAGGTTTAGAAGGCACAGCAAGAGCAACCGCTCAAGCTTCCTCCAGAAGAGCCGCACCGCACAGCTGACTCAATCAGCCCACTGCGACTCACCTTAGCAGCAGCACCCCGGGGCACTGCTACAGTGAGGGAAGGCCCAAGCATTCCCTTAGCTGGAGACTTCAAGAAGACTCTGCGACGAAGGCCACTCAAGCCTCCTCACGCGGAGCAGAGTGAGTGCACTCCCACAGCTGCTTCTGACACCTGACCAGATGACGGCGAACCTTAGCAGTAGCATCACGAGAGACGCTGTTGACCTTCCACCCGAAACGAGCCACAAACGGGTTAGAGGGCCTAGCAGGCCTGTCAAGGAGAGCTTCAGGGGAACAGCATTCCCAAGTGATATGCTGCCACGTGCCCAGACGACGACACCCAGGCCAAACGCAACAGGAGGACACGTGTTCCGGACGGCCACTCACAGCACGCCAAGTCGCAGGACTGAAGGAAGCTCCCAGGGCAACCGTGGCAGCAGGAGCTGCACTCAAGGCCCACTTCCTCACGTCCTCCCAATCAACATCCGGGAAAGCAGCTCCGCCAACTCCTCGAAGAGACAGACCGCGAACTTCATGCCTGCCACTTGCAAGCCAACGCGACGCACACCAAGCTCTCCAACCAACCCGGACCTGATGTTGCAGAAAGTCGTGACGGTTCCGCTGCGGAGCAACGGGAGTTGTCAAGTCAAGATCAACAGCAGAAGACACATGCTTCCACCTCCAAGGCGCAATGAGAGTCCAACCACGCTCAAGCAGCCAACCATGCAAGGCAGCCGAAGGCGAACCGCGCAATAAGGACCAAGGCAAAGGAGAGATGGCAGAGCGCTTAGCCAACGCACCAACAAGCCTGGTGGCCCACAAGCAATCCAAGTGCACATTGGCGCCAAACACCAAAGCCCGAACCCAGGGGGACGAGTATCTCACCCTATGGGCATGCTTGAAGAGGCCCGTGAACAGCTGCTTAGAGAGCTGCAACGTGGGAGCGCGAGCAACCCAACCATAGTTGGCCTTCGACATAGCAAAGACTTTAGCGGTCCCAAGGTACTGACGCAAGTGCATACCAACACACGACAGCAAAGCAAGCGTAGTTCTGGTGGCCTGCCCACGCTTCGCTTCTTGCTCCGTCAAAGCACGAGGAGTAGTGTAGGTGCTGGCCCCAAGGGCTTGGACAACCTTGACCACACGGTCCGCAGGAAAGCAAGCCTTCAAGTCAGCAACTTGCTTGGCCGAAGCCCCAGCAGCCCAGGACTTCAAGGTGTTCTCAACCAAACCAGCGCGACGACTCCACTGAAGCCAAAGGTCCCAAACGCAAGCCAAGCGCCTAGGACAAGCATCAACGACAGTGCGGTCATCAACGTAAACCTTAGTGAAGGAGTCAGGGGCCGCTCTGTGCGCAGCAGCAGCCGCGGAGCGCCTCTTAACGACCTGCAGACCGGCTTGAACCCAGAGGGACATAATGAGCGGACCAAGCGGATCTCCTTGCGGCTGGCCGTAGCCTCGGAGAGCCTGAGGCCTGCAGTGATGTTTCCACTGAACGAAGCGCAACTGATGACACCAAGCACTGCGCAACATAGCAACAACACCAGGCGGCCAACGCAAGTGTTGCAACAAGCGGATCGACACTTCAGCATCAAGCGTGTCAAAAGCCTTCGTAAAATCCAACGTAAGGATATGCTTCTTAGTGGCAAATTGATGCATGACTTCAGACAAGGTCACACAGATGTCCTCGCCCGTAATGGCACCAATGTCAACAGTCAAGTTGTTGCTGCGCCAAGCTTTGAAGTCAACCGACTGATACCACGCAGAAGAAAACAAACGCCACCACACGCTAGCGATGCTGATAGGCCTGACATCAACAACGCCCACCGAGCCCTGCTGGTTGCGCTTCTGAGCTTTAGGGATGCAAACCATACGGCTCTGCTGGAGCTGCAAAGGCACCGACCCTTGATCATGCCACGTCTTGACAAGCATCTCAAACACGCGAAAGGCCTCGAACGGCAAATGCTTAATCTCAGAGCTATGCCATCCGTCAGGACCGCCAGCGCCTTTAGCCTTGCGGGCAAGAGCACACAGGTCTTTAGCAACAGGCAACGACAACGAAGCAGGCAACAGCGGTCTGTCGACACCTTCAAGCACGGCCGCACTCCGCTCCTCAAAGCTAGGCCGCTGACTATGCAGATCGCGCCAAAAGTCGTGCCAAAAATCAGCGATGGCATCAGCAGCCTCACAGACAGTCTCAGTGTGACGCCCATGCTGATCAACAAGCCCCTCAGCGGGCGGAGTGGCCTTGGACCTAAGCCAATTACCAAGCTCACCAACATCACTCTGGACCCGGTGCCTCCACTCGCTCAAGCGACGAGTCTTTTCCTGCTGCTCCTCTTTGCGGAGGACCTCTTTAAGAGAGGACACTTGAGCCCTGGCTTCACTCAAAGAAAGGTTACCACAACGCTGTCTCAAGCACCGGAGGTTACGCAAAGTCTGCTCACCCGCAATGTCATCTGCCTGCTTCGTTAAGCAAGATATATAATCGCAGAGGCGAGCCAAGCGTTTACGCAACTTACGATGTCGCATGGCGCCGTGTTCCTGCCGCGGTCCTCGACACGGCAGCGACTCCCACGAGACTGCAGCAACAGCCCCCTTAGCCGCAAGCCGCTTCTTGAAGGGCCCAGCAACTCCGCACTCCCGAAGAGCAGCAGCAAAGCAACCCTGCAAGCAACCCTGAAACTCATCCCAAAGTTCCTGAACCCTAAAGTCAGAGCCATCAAGGAGCTTAGCGTGAAGCACAGCGACCTCAGTAGAAGCGTTCCAGGCCCGCTCGAGAGCAGCCCTCCAGTCCTCGACACTGATGTCCTTAGGCTTTCTCAAGTCTGCCACGCGAGGCAGCACTCCAACCTTGGTATCTGGGCTCGGCGCACAAAAGTCAACCACGAGGCCCTTGTGGTCGCTAAGACGCCAAGGAGCGAAGCGAACAGCAGAAAGGAAACTCAGCCTATTAGAGCAAAACCAGTCTATTTCTCTGCATCCTTCCCATCGCGTGGGAGCTCCAACAGTCCAAGGGCGTCCACTAAAACTGTGAAGCAGGGCAGCGACAGCAGAATCAGTTGGAAGCTCATTGAAATCCCCTCCTAGCAGCCACGCATGTGACTGCTGGAGGGCCTCCTCGATGAAGACATCGTGAAGAAGCTGAGCGGCCTGAGAGGGACCTTCCTCTCTAGGATGGGCGTAAACACTCATCAAGAGCCATCCATTCACGAAAGCTCCCACAATCTGTGCACTGTCAAGTGCCTTAGCGACAGCAGGGCGCTGAGGAAGAGCCTTGCTGACAAGCATAAGAACACCGCCACCCTTATGCCCAACCGAAGGCTGAAAGTACGTGGTGTAACCTTGTCCCTTGGTGCGACACACCCTAGAGAAACCCGCAACCTCGGTGGGCACGAGAGAAGCTTCTTGAAGCATAACGACGTCCGGCTGCTCCTGAGCAAGAACTTGGTTAGCGACTCTCCATGCTCCAGGCGCACCTTGGCAGTTGAAGCTAAGGCAGCGAGGGCCAGGGTGAGTAGCCTCACCGACCCTGACACCCCTAAACCCTCCAGCACGAGAGGAGGCAAGTTCCGAGCTCGTGAGGTTCGCAGAGCCACCACTACTACCACAACTACTACGACGCTTCTTAGGCTTGGCCTTGGCCTTGGACTTAGTCGCAGCAGCCCGAGGTCGGGCACGAGAACTGGCAGCAGCAGAGGCACTAGAAGCACGCAGTGCACGAGAGGCCTGCAGAGCCTGTTGACGCTGGAGCTTGAGGCCCGCGCACCAGGGGGTGTGAGGCTTTGGCTTCTTAGACCTGGGCTTCTTCTTTTGCCATTGCTTACTACTGTAAGTTTCACGACCGACCTTAAAGAAGTCGTCAAGAAATTCCTTAGAGCGGTTCACAGCTTTGAGGAAATTCGCGGCATGGAGGGGTTCGGCTTCCTGCAGATGTTTCCACCAAGCACGCTTCTTACTCATGGAGAAACCGTTCGTCTGAAGACGCTCAAGGCGCTCTTGACATGTCAAAAGCTCATGAGGCTGCGTAGTTTTACCAAGCTTACTAAAGCAAACCGAGCAGTACCAAGCCGTGCCCCGGTGACCGGCTTGACGCCTTTCGACCGTGTCGACTTGCACAAGCGTGTGAGTGGCAAAGCGCTCTTGACGGACTTTGTCATGAGCAGCAGACAAGGCCTTGGAGGTGCCCTGCTTAGGGGTGCCCTTGGCCCCCAAAACGAACAAGTCCCTCAAAGTAAGACCATGAGTTTCAGCATGCTTTCGCTTGGCACGTTTAAAGGGCTGCGAGGCCAAAGGAGGGAGACCCGCTTTACAACCCTTAACCGGGCAGGACCACGCTCTGGCCTCCTGGGGTAACAACTCACTGGCACACACCTCAGTCGGCCGAACCACCTGAATGAGTTCAAGCGGAAGTTCTGGGTGCCTGGAAGACCAATGATGTCGTTTAGAAGCACTCAAGGAGATCGCCTTAACCTGGATTTGGATCGAGCAAATCGGGCAAACCCAGGGCTCCGGAAGGAACCCTCCATCTTCGGCAACCTCAGCGGCGCCGACATCCGGGTCCTCGCTTCCAGCTGAACCGAACTGAGAGGCCTGAGAGAGCCCAAGGCCAGGCTTAGAGCTGCAGTCACCTTCGCGGCCGCCGCTGAGCTGAGCAAGACTGAAGAAGCCCTGCTGCTTACCCTGCAGTCGGCGCCTCTTAGGAGGCTCCCCATCCTGAAGGGCTTGAAGCGCTTTGTTGTTGTGAGCACTTTTGTCCTGTTGTCCGCCAGGAGTCTTCAGAGGAGTGCTAGGAGGCAGACTAAGAGCACAAGAAGCTTCACTGCAGCCATCACCTACACAACCCTTTTCTTTACCACGAGAAAAAGCAGCACTCAAACAGAGCCTGGAAGAGCCCGCGGAAGAACCTCCAAATTTTCCGCCTTGAACCCTTTCGGTACTTGTATCGGAGCCTCTAGGAGAGCCGATTCCAGGTGGCCTCGAGCCTACGGAGTCACCAGAGGCCCTTCCTTTCTCAGCAGAAGCCCTGGGGGTGGAACCCGCGAGAGAGAGGGCAGAGCTACGCCTGGAAGGGGAAGAGTCAGGGAGCGAGAGACCACTGTCGGACCCAGCGCCTTTGAAAGTGTTAGGGGGCCTTTGGGGCGTTTCCTGGAACCAAGCGTCGGGGGTCTTAACCTCAGGACTGGTTCTGAGGAGGGCCCTGTAGTGCTTTGCCTTAAGCACAACAACAACCGGAAGGCGGTCCTTGGTGGTTTGGGCATAGCCCTGAAAGAACCAAGGGGCAACCACATGGCGAAGCCAAACCCCATTGGAGGCAAGGAACCACACAATGATGGGAACACCAAGCCTTTCGCTTAACGCTCGAAGCATGTAACCATCAATCCAGACATCCCTGCGAGCGCACTTCTTAAGGTATTCAGCATACGAGACAGGAGGCGTGTCACCGCCCCACTCAAGGGACGTGTCCTCGGGGTCTGGGGCCCAAGCCTCGGCGCCACCCTCCTTGTCATCTTTGTGCTTGGTAAGATGACTGACAGCATACAACCTCAGAGTACTAGCTTCGCGGAGCAGCTGTTCGGACGAAAGTGTTATGTTTTGGTTCGCAGCAATAGCAGCAGCGATAGCACGGAACCCACAATCGCCGGTGCCACCGGCGTCTTTGATGCACCAACCTGGCGCAGATTCAAGCAGGGAGCCATCTTCGTCCTTGAGAGGGCGGTTTTTGGCTTTACGGCTACGGGGCGAACGACTCCTAGGTTTAGAGCAGTCTTCGTCAGTGTCGGGCCAGGTGGCGGTGAGATCGTCATCCCCGCCGGTTGGGTGATTGTCGACATCAATTGGGGTGTCAAGCCAACATTCCTGAAGATCAGAAGGGACATCCCTGTCAACCCAGCGCCTTTTAGGGCCCGAAACATCAACACGTTTGAGCTCCTTGCGCTTTCTGGGGGCTTCAGGGGCTACAGTCACGCAACAGTCGACGTCGGAGTAGCACCAAAAGCAGTCCTGAGCCGTACCAGCCGGGGGACTAGCCCGAAAGACCCATTCGGGAGTGGCACCTTTGGTCCAGCTTCGGCGCCTAGTGAGCACGTAGGCTTGAGTCCATCGTTGTTGTTGCAACAGGTGGACAACATCATGCTGATCCCAAGCGGCCGGGGCCCCATGCATGACAAAGGTTTTGGGCTTGTCGGGGGTGTCCCAAGTGACCTCTCCACCAACAATGCCCAAGTCACTCAACCCATGCTGCCTAATGGCGAGCGGCTTTCCCTGGTCTTCCGCAACCGCCTGAACTGTGCGAAAATATTCCTCAAATGAGTCCTCAGTCCTCTTGACCCAAGCAACACCTGAAGGCGAAGGGCTTTTGGAGGCAATCATCGTAAAAATACCCCCGAAACCACTTTGTTTCACCACAAGGTTAGCAATGACAGTAGGGATACGGATGTGACCTTGCAACGTGGTGCCCTTGGTCGTGGTGACGTTTTGCCACTTACCACCCGTAAAGTTGCTCACAGGTTTACCAAGCTTTTTAGCTATCTCAGAAATGATGCTGGTGGGACTGTCCCACGCGTCAGCGTCAATGAAGAGTCGGCGATATTGGCACGGCGCGAGGACGCGCAAAGTGCACATATCAACCTTTGGTTTCGCTCGGAAGTTGACCGTCAGAGGGGGCCGAGGCTCGGGACCAGAAACCACAGTGAGTTGCACGGTCTTAAGTTTAACCCGATTCGGCTTAGCATCAGAGCCCGCAGCTCCGTGCCACCACACCGCACACGCCGGCTCAGCACTGCTAGCCGGCGCAACCTCAGCGAGAGTGAGAGCCTCGTGAACGTCAAACGCGGCAACGAGGTTTTGAAGGACCTCGAGCGTTTCATCAGAACGGCTGATAACCAAGTTGCCGGGCAACTCGTTGCCGGCCTCCAAAGCATGCTGGATCTGATTCGGGGTAGTGAGGGAAGGTTTGCAATTCCACTCAGCTGGTACAATCCTGGCCGCAAATCTGCTACCATGAGTCTGAGGCTTCTGCGCTTCAACCGGGGGCCCAATGACCTTGCGCTTCTTAACCTTGGGGCCCTCGGGGGGATCAGAAGGTTTAGGCTGCAACTGGGGCCAATCCCAATCACAAAGCTCATTAACCCCATCATCGCCGGATTGAGCTTGCCACTTCTTACGACGATGCCTTTTCGTAGACTTCCACTGCTCCCAAGCAGCGGGGTCCCACCAGCCGGTTTCCGGGTCATAACCGGCATCGTCCCACTCCCCATGTGGGTAGTGGTTCCATGCATTGTATCCCCAACCTGCCTCCTGATCACACTGAGCCTCGTACCACGAGTCCTCGTTGGCCTCAGGTGTGGTGCAACAGGCACGATAGTCCTCGTCGGTGGATGGAGGCGTCGGGGGGGCAACATGGAGACCTTGTCCCTGTAGAGTTTGGATAACAAGGTTAGCGATTTGCTGCATGGTGGCCAGAGACAACTCCGGCATGTTGTGATTGTTTTTCTCATTCCTAATCCTTTCCGTGCGCCTTGAGCCTCCCT